TAGAGAACTTTCTTCTTATCATCATCGTCCCATGCAGTTTTAGCCTTTGATGAGCCAACACCATTAATTACCGTTACCGGGATAAATGGACCATTTTCGACGGCATCCCATATTTCCTCTCCTTGTGCTTCTAGATGCGCCTTCATGCGAATTTTCTAGAAGTCAAAATATTCACCACAGAATAGAGGAGGCTTGTTGTTACTACCACCATCTCTGAAAACGGGATTATGATTTCCGGAAGCCATTCTGGATCTTTTAGGAGCAGGTTACCTATAACCTGCTCTGATACCAATTGTAAGTACGAAGTGCGCCTAAGAGGGGGGGGGTGAATTAGGTACTTTTAAAAAATTCTGGTTTTTAGTGATGATGGTTCTTATTTTTCTGGTTATAAGTGATTTTAGGAAAGCTTAAAGAAGCGGAAAAATAAAGAGACACGGGCGATATATTCTGGTTCCCCTCACAGTCCGAGAGTACTCCAGTCCCCTTTCAACATGAAAGAGATTTCCTTATTGTGGCAAACTTACATAAGAACTACCAACCAAACCAAGAACAATCCTCTTGGACCAAGAACAATCCTCTCGGATTTTCACTAAGTTACCTATGAGAACAATCCTCTCAATGTAACTACACTTGTATCCAACAACTTGGAAAGACAAGATTTCAACAAAAACACTTAAACTTAATTCCAACAATCCTGGAAAATAAGTAAGTAAATATTAATTCGTGAGTTTGAGTGAGTAGATTAATATTGATCACTAAGTGTGATTTTGACAATGTATAATCTTCTTCTTTCAATAATAATATTGTACAAATACTCAAGATATATTTGCTCAAAGTTTTATGTTTTAAGTATGAAAATGTGCAGAAAACTTATGCATGAAAATGAAGAATGCTTGAATTTGTATTTTGAAAGTTCTGAAAAATATTATGAAAGAGGGGTGTTAGATCTGAATTTGAAATTAAATATTTATATGTTCATAACACCCTTTTGAAACATCATGAAGATCTGGAAATGTATCATGAACAAATGCCAAGTTTGAGTGAAAAGATGTAATGAAAAGGCATGATCAAAAGGCATGAACAAAGCTGTAATTTTTCAAATTCGTGCAGTGTGTAATCGATTGCACCTTTAGTGTAATCGATTGCACAAGGTTTTCAACAGCTATATTTTCAAAATTTTAAGAGTGCAATCGATTGCATTAACAATGTAGTCGGTTGCATGCTAAGTCAGAAGCAAAAATTAACTGAGTGGAATCGATTGCACCAACTATGTAATCGATTGCATGCTAAGTCAGAAGCAAACATTTTGAAAAATTTAAGTGTGCAATCGATTGCACAAACAATGTAATCGATTGCATGAAGAAACAGAAGCAAAAGATTTGGAATTTTTGAAGAGTGCAATCGATTGCACTAAGATGTAAATCGATTGCATGCATAAGAAAAGTGAAATTTTATCTTTGAAAATCTTGAGTAATGATTCTTAAACATTTCTTTTTCATTTTTGAGCATCTATATCTTAAGATCAAAGTAGATAATATTATTATACCTTTAAAGTTGATGAGAGCTTTGATTGAAGATATTATCCTTAGATGCTTAGATGCTTGACCAAAGTCTTTGCCTTCTTTGTTAGCCATGGTGTGTCTTCATCAAAACAAAAGCTTATTTGAGAAGCTTTATTTCACACACGGTTTATCCGACACAATATGATATGTCGATATGGTGTACCAGAAAGGATCATTACGGATAATGGTACAAATCTCAACAATACAATAATCACCGAGCTCTGCAAACAATTCAAGATTCAGCATCATAACTCTTCTCCCTACCGGCCGAAGATGAATGGGGCTGTTGAAGAGGCTAACAAGAATATCAAGAAGATTGTACAAAAGATGACGGTGACATACAAAGACTGGCACGAGATGTTACCATTTGCTCTTCATGGGTACCGTACCTCGGCAAGGACGTCGACAGGGGAAACACCCTACTCTTTGGTATACGGCATGAAGGCAGTCTTACCCATCGAAGTCCATATACCATCTCTCTGGATTATGAAGGATCTGGGTTTGAATGAAGACGACTGGATCCAAACCCGGCTTGATCAGCTGAATTTAATCGATGAAAAAAGGCTTACTGCTATTTGTCATGGTCAGATGTATCATAAGCGAATGATTAAGGAATTTAACAAGAAAGTCAGACGTCAAGAATATCAAGTCGAGGATCTGGTGATCAAACGCATCATACTGCCACAAGGTGATCCTAGCGACAAAAGGACCCCCACATACGAAGGGCCATTTGTGGTTAAGAACATTTTCTCGGGAGGAGCTATGATTCTAACCACCATGGATGGTGACGACCTTCCTCACCCTGTCAATGCAGACATAGTGAAAAAATACTATGCATAATCAAAGACCCGCTAGGTTGACTGGCCTAGGCAAAAATAAGGGCTTCCCGGCGAACTAAAAGGGTTCGGGAAAAAGTAAGGGATGAAAATAAAAAAACTATACACCCGGCAAGTCGAAAACCTGAAAAGGCGACTTGGACAAAAAAGGGTATCTCGGTGGACTAAAAACCCGAAAGGGTGGTCGAGGAAAAAATTAGAGATTGAAGCGTAACACTATGTCTCATTGGATCATCTTGCGACCAGACTTCGGTATCGACTATCAAGCTCAGACGGCGCCAATCAATATGATCCACCTTCGACCAAATATGATGAGACGCTTGAAGATATAAAGGCAATAGCAGAATTGGAACCCAATGGGATTGTTTCACATAGCTATTTTTTCTTTCTTTTACACAAATTGTATAATTTCTATCATTCGGCAGCATTCTCTTACTAGGACGTCAGTCTCTTGTACAAAAACACCTATTATGGGCCAACTTCAAAATCAATACAATTCATTTTTACAAGAAAGTTCAAATTGTTTTTCTTTTTCTGTTTTGTTTTGCAAAGAACGTCCAATGATTCATTTTTTATATATGCATTTGAGAATAATTGTTGCTCATAAATGTTTACATGAAAAAACAAAAGACAATTACTCGTAATTCCAGGAACAGGGGCAAACAAGAAGTGTCTGAACCTTACAGTTGCTCTACCCATCAGGTACAGGGATAGAGCCAGCTTAAGGATATGACTAAAGGTACATACACTCCCCGCAGAGTAGGAAGTATCCAAAAAACAGTGGTGTTAGCTCTCCCCAGCCGAGGTTCATAATCGCGATTGAGTCGGCAAAATTCTCCCCAAGCAGAGTTTATCTATCACCATCAATAGAAGCTCACCACCAGCTAAGTTTATTTCTCCAAATCAGCAGATCGTCCAACGGAGTATCTCTCTTTCCCACAAAGTCATTCTCCCACAGGATTATTCTCATACAGAGTCTCTCCCGGCGGAGTATTCTCGAGCAGAACGGACGCAAGTCTCCAGCTAATCACCTTCGTTCGTTATCCCCAGTGAGAACGAAGAACTCAACTCCTTATACTCTCCAGCAGCAGTCGGGGATTTATTTTCCCCAATCCAACAACACTACAACAGAACAATTAATATGTTCATGCATTGCATTCATATATCATAACATTGACAACACAAATGCATATAGCACAATCTCATTTATTTTGAGAACATCATTACTGAATACATTTCATACATCATGACATTACATACGACTAACTCTTTACCTTTCAGGGAAAGATGCAATCAAGTTCTGACAAGTTTTCTCTAGTTCAGTAAAACCGACACTAAGGTTTCTATTCTAGTTGAAGACATTTTAAGACTTTCGTCTGGGTCATCCGAATCGCCGCTAAGATTCCCCTGATTTCTATGCCAGTCAAAGTTAATCTGAGACCTCTCTCGGGATCAGTCAAATCGACACTAAGATTTCTCTCCCAGTTGAAGTTCCCACAAGTTTCCCCTGGTTCAGTCAAATCGATACTAAGATTTCTATTCCAGTTCAAGCTTTGAAGCCCGGAAATCGACCGGAAAACAGCCTAACCCTCAGCAAGTTATTGTGAAGCCTGGAAATCGACTAGATAGCAGTACAAGATACCATGAAGCTTGGAATCGACCAGATAACGGTATAAGACGCTGTGAATACTGGAGCACGACCAGATAGTGGCAAAAGAAACTGAAACCTGGGACACGACCAGATAACAGTATAAGGCACTGTGAAGCTTGGAATTCGACCAAATAGCAGTTTACTCGGCCAATTACTATGAAACCCGGAAATCGACCGGATATTAGTATACCTTAAATTCAAGTGGAAACCCGGATGCGACCGGATAACCACTTAATTCCTTCTAAAGCCTGGAACACAACCAGATAAGAATTTAGATATTTCAAAGCCTGGAGACGACCAGATAGCAAGTTTCATCTCATCTCCCCAGCAAAACCCTGTAAGGCCTGGAGCACGACCAAATAGCAGTTCATTGTCACCTCCTCAACTAAGAGATGATTCCCCAGTAGAGTAACGGACAACTGAAGCTCCTAAAATTCTATTTCTCCCAAAGCTTTTGCGTGTTTCTATCTACTCTGATTTGTATTCCCGTACCTTTTCAACTCGAATAATTTTTAATTAAGAGTTTAAATTTTAAAGTTTGTTAATTTTATGAAGTCGACATTTAACGTTACCAACTTTTTTCAATTCCAATAAACAGAGTTTGGCTTAATCTTATTCTAAGATATCAGAAAAACAAACTTCCTAAACAAATAGTTTAGAGTGCACAACAAGTTAGAGATACATGCTCTAAATTTTACACATACAACATAAAGTTAATATATATATATATATATATATATATATATATATATATATATTTGATTTAACTGGTATAGAAAGTTATTTCAGCTTCATATATAAGAAGTTATATTGCTTCCACCTGATGCAAAAAACAATTTCAACTGGGTCAGTTAGCATCACAAACCATAGTCATGATTTTGGAAAAGCAAACAAAAATTTGACTTACAATAACTTAGAATCCATCCCTCACTGCTCCCCCATCACCATAAGTTAAGGAAATGGCAACCTGAAAAGATAGAATGAATTCTATGAAGCACCAACACATGTCATAACACAAATACTAGACACATGTGTAAGTGTGGAGTCACACATATGTCAGTGTGGTGTCAGAGAGTCAGACACACGTCGATCTAAAGTGTCAGTGTTACACACATTAACTATACACGTCTACAGAGAAATCAGATTCGTGAATGTCATAGGTTGCTTACCCTAACTTAAGAGATGTGTCAGATGAATCATCTTCAAGAGAAGGTCCACTATTGCAGTTGCATACATCATTCATGGACTCACATGAGACATTTTCCTGCATGGTAGTAACATCCAAGTCTCCCAAGATAGGACTTTTCCCCTTAAATAGCATAGCCATCTGAGAAAAACCATGGGAATATCAAAATCAAAGAAAATATCTTATGAAAATTAAAATGAAATGATGAAATTCTTATTTCTCATACCTTATGCTTTAAATGATTGTTCTCCTCTTCTAACTTGACACCCTTTTTTGAAACATGGTTAAACAATGCAAAGAAATTTGTTTATAGAAATAAAACATTCAAAGATATATCTCATAATATTACTAGATGAACATCAGTTTCAAACAAACCTTTATCTGAAGTGCACCAATCTCATTCATAATTCTTTTTTCCTGAATTTAAAGGTTACAATTTATCATTAGAATCTTTAGTATTATAAAGGAATAACACACAAGGAATGATATATTATATTCTGAGAGTCAGAGTCAGTTTTTGAGAATGTGCAAGACATACTACGGCACATGACCTAAATTTAACACAATCAAACTGCGGTTAAATAGAATCTCAAAATATTTGTCACACTTAAACTAATCTACACAGTGTCTCTGAAAACTTAAGATACCTTCATCTCAATCACGCACTTGAGCCCTGTTTCTAGTGTTCTCTCCAATTGTTGTAACCCCTCTAAGTTTAACCCTTCAAAATCTTCTCCTTTCAGTCCCCTGGTGAAAAGAAAGAAATACATAAAGTCATGCACAAATCTTAAATATTTTATAATTTTATTTTTTTATTTTTTTATTTTATTTTAAATCTTTCACTTCAAGAAAACTGTAAAACCTTAGTTGTTGGGTTTTATCAGCAAGTTCCTTTTGCAATTCAGTTAACATGTTTTTCTCTACCTGAAATTAACAAACAAAAATAAATTAAAGCAACGATGTTTATGATTAACTAATTCTTAAATATTTTAAAAAGTATATCTGTTAGAACTGGTTCTTAATAACTTACCTGTAATTGTAGAGGTTTGTGCAATTTGTTGTTTTGTTGGGAGTGTTGAGTATACCTTGTAATTATGTCCTTCATACTTTATCAAACGAAAATAATAATTAAGGATGATGAATACAACTCTAAATGCATAATATATATATATATATATATATATATATATATATATATATATATATATATATATATATATATATATATATATAACAAAGGTAAACAATAAATTTACAAAAATAATTCGTCAAAAATAATATTATCCATGTTTGTCACTTTGCCTCATAATGTGCCACTATGATGATAATTTCTCCATTTAGTGGTGCTATAGAAATGGAACACGAGTAAGATGGTGAACTGTCAAGTTCTATGCGTCTTTTTAACAGTTTATTATACGCTTATAACTTTCGTAAATCTTAGTAGACTTGAGAAAGACATGACATATCGCATATTCAACTCTTTTACATTTGACTAGCCTTTATTTTGTTAAATATGTAACTCATTGTACTTGATGTTACTTGACCAATAAGAAAGAGTGAATCAAGGAGATGATTCAGTTGTAACAAAATTGATTGAGGTTTTTAATAATCTCATATTTAGTTAGTGTTAGTTAGGTTACTTGGTGTACAAGTAATAAATGTACAAATACTCTAACATTGTAATCATTTTGAGTTATTGCAATTATTTTACTTCATCTTCCCATTTTCATTTCTCTGTAAATTGTGCAAAGTTTGTGTGAGAAATAGAACAGAGCTTGAGCAAACTTGAGTGTGTGAGTGAGCATCACCAAAAAGATTGGTTTTTATGCTTTACTCGAGTTTCTTTATTCTAACATCTGGTGTCTAGAGCCCTGATTCTGATTTTTGGTGGACCTTTACGATGGCCTCTCATCCAAATGTTCATTTTTTTGATAATCTTCGCATATTATATGGAAAGAATTATGACAACCAATGCAAGCAAATGAAGGTCGTTTTTTACTATTAAGATGTGTAGGATCTTGTAAAGAATGAAGTGACACCAATCATTGATCGAGCCACTGATGATCATAAGAATGCTTATAAAGAATTGAAGAAAAAGGATTATAAAACCCTCTTTATAATTCATCAATGTGTTGATCCGGATAATTTGGAAAAAGTTGGAGATTTTGAAACATCGAAAGAGGCATGGGATAGCTTGGAAACGTCATTTGGTGGTGACGAGAAAGTGAAAGAGGTGAAGTTAAAAACTCACAAAAGATTGTATGAATTGCTTCAGATGGAAGAAAATGAGAGCATATCTTATTTCTTAAGAAGGGTGACTAGGTTGATAAATCGTATCAATAATGAAAAGAATTCACTGATATCATATGTATTGTACATTCTAGGCATAAAGATCAACCTCCTAAGAATTGGCCAACTGATTAAAAGGAATTATAAAGTGTTGATATAAGATAAGATGGTGAGAATGCATGAATCAAGTGGTAGATTGATCTTGAAAAGCCATATGTCTCAAAATAGGACTTTTGAGATTGAAATTTATGTAATGGAACACAAATGCCTAACAATTGCAACTAGTAGGGATGAATGGCTATGGAACTATAGGCTTGGTCATATCCACTTTATAGATATCAATAATCTAAAGAGGAATAAAATGGTTTCAAGTGTGCCCGAAATTCAAATTCCTAGTGGAGTGTGTGAAGAGTTTATAAAGACCAAGCAACATAAGAATAACTTCAACAGGATGCAAGAAGCAAGTCTAAAGCTTCTCTTAAAGTCATATACTCAGATGCGTGTGGTTCTATCTTTGTGGATTCAATTGGAGGTAACAAGTATTTTTTTACATTTATAGATGACTACATCAGTCAATTATGGACACAGTTGATTAAGAAAAATGATGTGATTGAAGTGTTCACTAAATTCAAATGCATGGTGGAAAGGCATAGTGGTCACAAGATCAATAATTTGAGGACTGGTGATGGAGAAGAATATGTATCAAGTGATTTTGATTAATTATGTGAAAGATAATGGATTGTGCATGAGTTGGTGCCACCATACACACCTCAAGAAAATGGAACTGCATAGAGAAAGAACATGACCATCATGAACATGGTGAGGAGTATGTTGAAGTGAAAACATCAACCTAATGAGCAACAGGTGAGTTTGTGTCCACTGTAACATGTATCTTAAATAGATTCCTAACCAAGAGGCTAGAAGGGATCACACCTAAAGAATGTTAGTCTGGTGGCAAGCTAAGTCTAAGCAACTTAGAGGTATTTGGGTCCATTGCACATAGACATGTGCTTAATCAATTGAGAAGAAAGTTTGATGATAAATCAATCCAAATGATCTTGATTGGATATCATTCAATTGGTGGATACCAGTTATTTGATCCTATGAATAGGAAAATAGTGATCAATAGAGATCTGGTTATAGATGAACTAAAAGAATGGGACTGAAACAATAATGCTAAGAAGGATTCATTAAGAAACATGTATGAAGAACCAAGGTAACTAAGATGGAGATTCAAGAAAATACCAACGGGATTCATGTAGGCACCAACAAACCTTAAAGAACTAAAAACGTGTCAGCTAGATTGCAAGACTGTGTAGTCATATCAGATGATATGGTCAATGATGAAGGTGAATTGGTACATTATGCTTTTTAGTCAGATACTAAGTCTATAAATGTGACTGAAGCATTGAAAGATCTTAAGTCATGAATGTTATGTTGGAGGAGCTAAAATCCATAAAGGTCAACAAAACATGGTCACTAGTTGACTTGCCACAAGGAAAGAATGAAATTGATGTAAAGTGGGTATACAAGGTGAAGCTGAATCCTACGGGTGAAGTAACCAGACAAAAGACAAGCCTGGTCGAAAAAAGCTTTCTTCAAAGAGAATGTATTGATTTTGACAAGGTTTTTGCACCAGTTTCCAGGGTTGAAACAATTAGATTGGTTGTTTCCTTAACCAATATGATTAACTGGTCCATGTTCCAGATGGATGTGAAATGTGCATTCCTGAATGGTCCCTTGGATGAAGAGTCATATGTGTCACAACCAGTTTGTTTTGAGAAATAAGGCCAAGGGAGCAAGGTGGGAGGGTCTCCAAAACTAGTATGAAGTGGGGATGTTCAAAAAATCCATGAACTGAACTGAATCGTTCAACCGATATGAGCTGAGGTTAAAATAACCAAACCTTTATGTTTGGTTAGTGAACCAAACCTTTATGTTTAGTTAGTGAACCAAACCATATTACACAAATAGTTCTAGAACCGAACTGAAACTAAAACTGAACTGAATCGAATCGAACCAAAACTAAAAATGAAAAATACTAAAAGTAAGTTTTAATTTTTTTTTTATAAAATTGAAAAATAGTTTAATCCTTTGGTTCTTTAATAAATGGTTTAGTTAGGGAAAATATTTCTTCTAACACTTCGGTATAGTTCGAAATTTTGAAACGGTATACCAAACCAATAATTTTGGTTTAGTTTGGTTCCGAGTAAATTGAAATGGTTTGGTTCAGTTCGAGTGAACTTTTAGTATGGTTCGGTTCGGTTTAGTTCGGCAAGAAGTGCATAGGATGCAAAGTCTTCATACCCATATCTTTATAGTGGCTTGTTTGAACAATGCTCTATGTCATATACAAGAATATAATTATGTACTCCACCTGAAACTTCAGGGGTCCGTGGTCAATTTCAATATCAGAGCCTGTTTCCTGTTGTGGTTCATACACTACCTGCATATTATTCATCGGTGGTGAATAACATCCACTTGAATCAAGATTCTCCTTCATATGTTGACACATTTATTGCAACTGAATGCTCCAATATTAATTGCTCAACAAAAATAACATCTCTGTTAATTACCATCTTCTTTTTAATCGGATCCTTTCACAACTTTTGTGCAATCGAGAAAAACACACTTCTTCGACATTGGATCAAGCTTGGTTCAATATTCATTGGATATATGCTCATAAGCTAAACACCCAAAAATTCTTAAATTGTTAAAATCAACAGATTTACCTGTCCATACATTGTATGCCACCATACCTCTTTGGTAGACCCATGCACATCAGAATGCACATAGTCTAAAACTTTCTCTATTTTGTTCTTTTCAGTCTTAAACTCACCACGACATTGTTTCCCAATTACACACTACTTTCACAAATCCATCTTACAACTACAAACGCTATAGATTACTCTTATGAAGTTTCATGATCCCATGCACACTAAGATGAATCAAACACATATGCCAGAGTTTGGTTACCGCATTATCATACTCAGCTGAGTCAACCTCGCCTACATCAATGTTCCCCAACAATATGTTGATGTTACTTATTATCCTCATTACTCTCGTCATAGTCAAGGCACCCTTTCTAACCTTCATAATATTCCTATCTCCATCAAACCTATAGTAGAAACCATTTTCTTGTATCGTACATAGGGAAATCAAGTTTTTCCTAAATTCTAGAATATATCTGACATCATCCATTGTTATCATGCCATAATCATCCATGGAAATTTTAGTTTGTCACATTCAAATGATAGTACATTCTTTATCATTACCCGGATAAACAAATCATTACCCAGATAAACAAATCTAAAATTACTTGATCTGAATATGGTGAAACATTCTCGGTGCATCATCACGTAGTAAGAACAACTAGAGTCAAGAACCCACACATATGTGCACTTGATGGATGAAGCATACAACATACTCGCTTCACTACCACAACCATAAGTTTCAACCACATTTTTAGAATTATATGACCCTTGTTTTTTGTTTGGACAATCCTTCTAATGCCTAATGTGTTTCCAACTATAACACTTGGTTGTTTTTTTCTTAGATTTAGACCTCTTCTATCCAAAACCTGATAACCCTTGTTCTTCCCATGATCTTCACCCCCACCCCCCCCCCCCCCCCCCCACACACACACCCACACACACTTCACATACAAACCATTGCATAGATTTCCTTCCTCTATAATTTATTTTCTTTGAAAATGAGACAAAAGTGTAGCAATAATCACATCAAAAGTTGTAGTGTCCTTCGTGTTAGTAAGAGTAGTCACTAAGTGGTCATAAGAACCTGGTACCGAGATCAATA